TGAATTTTCATAGCAGGGGCAAGGTAGCAGGATAATCAGAATGTAATATGTTTACTGGTGTATGACAAATTGCACTTGAATCACAAACTCCCCTAATTTGGTGTTTGTTCAGTCAATGATTCCAATAATTAAGGACCTGTCACAGAGCACTTTGCCGAAGCCACGACATGCCCTTCTTTTAGAAGCCACGTCCTTACAAAAACTGATATTGCCTAACTCGCCAAAAATAGTTACCAAATAAACTTTAATTTTTTTGTACTTTTCAAGTGAGGTACTCATCAAAAAGCAATCGGGCAGTTACATGGGAAGTCTGTTGAATATATGTAGAATATGGGACATTGGCTTTATCCTGTGAGCACAGCTAAAGTACCACTGTTGGCCTTCGTAAAATTTATCAGTTCATGTTGTTACTTGCGCCCAGCTTCTTAATCGATCGTTGTCCCTATGTGTGTGCATGTTAGTGCTCACGTTAAGTGCGGACTTTCCATGTCTTGCTCATTTTGTAACTCCTCTTTTCCATCGCAAGCTTCAAGTTAACCAAGAGGCTAGGCCTGGTATAACAGCTTCGAATACTAGCACAATACGTAGACAAGAGCAGCTAATATATGGACAAGCGCTTAGCTGTTCTTGTCTGTGTATTCCGCTCGTATTTAAAACCACATGAATCACCAACTCAAACAATCAACCATTTTGACCTGGTATAACCTTCCCGCCTTTTTTTTGTGAGTCTTTCTCTCTGTCTACCATGCCCACGATGTATATTTCGGAGCATTTATACCTGGTGTTTTGTACGCAGCTACACTGACAAACGCACGAAATGACCGCCGTCTCCTAAGCCATTTGGGAGCTTTGGGTGGAATAAATAAAGATATTTGGGCGGGCTTTGATCGAGCTGGTCCACGTGGAGGCCCAGGTTACACCGTCAGCGTTGGAGCAGGTGTTGGGGCTAGGCTAGGTGGTCGGGGCAGTTTAGGCCTAGGTGGCCAAGGTAAGAATTCTAACTCACGTCATGTCATAATGAGAATCAGCATGCCTCACGTTATACCTGTGTGATGTTTGTACAGTACATGCGCATTCTGTTGCACTCTCCAATCAAGCAACTTCGCAGATTGACGTGTTCTGTCATTCATAAAATATTTTGGAAAAAGAACAAAATTCTGTGCATTACAACGCTGTAGTGATGGACCATATGAGTAAAGTCCCTGTAGACAGCAATATGCATTGTATATATCAGAACAAGAATCATATAGGGTCTATTTGCAGTCTATGAAAACGTAGCTAACTCTTATTCCAATAATATCTTACACAGAGTTTTCTAATAATTCCAATGCTTCAAACGTATGATTTTATATATATATATATATATATATATATATATATATATACATATAGCAGACTTGGTGTGTTTAGGTTGTATACGAGGGACAATTAATCAGCTGCCCGCTCATAATAAGTTCACGTGCTACGTGACGCCAAACATGCGAATAAGGGTGTTTTCACACTCGTTGTTTGGCTTATAGATGGCGCTGACTGTCACTCCTACTTCTAAATTCACATATAAACACCAAAAAGTGGATGGAGGGACGGCCCCTGTGATAGCTCAGTGGTTAGAGCATCGAACGCGTTATTCGAAGGTCGTAGGTTCGATTCCTGCTCACAGCTGGTAATTTTCTCATCCCATTTTCTTTCTTCTTTCTTCTTATTTACATTCTATTGGTTTTAATAACTTCCCCTGTAATTTCTTGGCATTACTGTCTGTTATATCTCATTATTATTGTGTTAAAACACGGAAATACGAGCCCTTAGGTATACACTTCTCTCCCTTATTTCATTGAACGAGGGTCTCGTACTGGCAGACTTGGTGTGTTTAGGTTCCGCTTGCCTAAGAGGGACAATTATTCAGCTGCCCGCTCATAATAAGTTCACGTGCTACGTGACGCCAAACATGCGAATAAGGGTGTTTTCACACTCGTTGTTTGGCTTATAGATGGCGCTGACTGTCACTCCTACTTCTAAATTCACATATAAACACCAAAAAGTGGATGGAGGGACGGCCGCTGTGATAGCTCAGTGGTTAGAGCATCGAACGCGTTATTCGAAGGTCGTAGGTTCGATTCCTGCTCACAGCTGGTAATTTTCTCATTCAATTTTCTTTCTTTTTTCTTCTTATTTACATTCTATTGGTTTTAATAACTTCCCCTGTAATTTCTTGGCATTACTGTCTGTTATATCTCATTATTATTGTGTTAAAACACGGAAATACGAGCCCTTAGGTATACACTTCTCTCCCTTATTTCATTGAACGAGGGTCTCGTACTGGCAGACTTGGTGTGTTTAGGTTCCGCTTGCCTAAGAGGGACAATTATTCAGCTGCCCGCTCATAATAAGTTCACGTGCTACGTGACGCCAAACATGCGAATAAGCGTGTTTTCACACTCGTTGTTTGGCTTATAGATGGCGCTGACTGTCACTCCTACTTCTAAATTCACATATAAACCCCAAAAAGTGGATGGAGGGACGGCCGCTGTGATAGCTCAGTGGTTAGAGCATCGAACGCGTTATTCGAAGGTCGTAGGTTCGATTCCTGCTCACAGCTGGTAATTTTCTCATCCAATTTTCTTTCTTCTTTCTTCTTATTTACATTCTATTGGTTCTAATAACTTCCCCTGTAATTTCCTTGGCATTACTCTCTGTTATATCTCATTATTATTATGTTAAAACACGGAAACACGAGCCCTTAGGTATACACTTCTCTCCCTTATTTCATTGAACGAGGGTCTCGTACTGGCAGACTTGGTGTGTTTAGGTTGTATAAGAGGGACAATTAATCAGCTGCCCGCTCATAATAAGTTCACGTGCTACGTGACGCCAAACATGCGAATAAGCGTGATTTCACACTCGTTGTTTGGCTTATAGATGGCGCTGACTGTCACTCCTACTTCTAAATTCACATATAAACACCAAAAAGTGGATGGAGGGACGGCCGCTGTGATAGCTCAGTGGTTAGAGCATCGAACGCGTTATTCGAAGGTCGTAGGTTCGATTCCTGCTCACAGCTGGTAATTTTCTCATTCAATTTTCTTTCTTTTTTCTTCTTATTTACATTCTATTGGTTCTAATAACTTCCCCTGTAATTTCCTTGGCATTACTGTCTGTTATATCTCATTATTATTGTGTTAAAACACGGAAATACGAGCCCTTTGGTATACACTTCTCTCCCTTATTTCATTGAACGAGGGTCTCGTACTGGCAGACTTGGTGTGTTTAGGTTGTATGAGAGGGACAATAATTCAGCTGCCCGCTCATAATAAGTTCACGTGCTACGTGACGCCAAACATGCGAATAAGAGTGTTTTCACACTCGTTGTTTGGCTTATAGATGGCGCTGACTGTCACTCCTACTTCTAAATTCACATATAAACCCCAAAAAGTGGATGGACGGGCGGCCGCTGTGATAGCTCAGTGGTTAGAGCATCGAACGCGTTATTCGAGGGTCGTAGGTTCAATTCCTGCTCACAGCTGGTAATTTTTTCATCCACTTTTCGTTCTTCTTTCTTCCTATTTACATTCAATTGGTTCTAATACCTTCCCCTGTACATTCCTTGGCATTACTGTCTGTTATATCTCATTATTATTGTGTTAAAACACGGATATACGAGACCTTTTATATATATATATATATATATATATATATATATATATATATATATATATACGGTAGAAAAAGAGGTCGACAATCGTGCGAAAAAACACTGGTTTTACTAGTGCAAAAAAACACTAGTAAAACTAGTGTTTTTCGCACGTTTGTCGACCTCTTTTTCTACCGCATTTTCCACCGGATCCATTGAATTTCACCCCACCACAAATATATATATATATAAATATATATATATACATATATATATATATATATATATATATATATATATATATATATATATATATATATATATATATATATATATATATAGACATACATATGATATATCTATTATATATATATAGCGGGAGTAATAATTCAATGGGCCAGTTAGTCTTTGTGAAAGTATGGGATATGGCACAACGGGAGCGTTGTCAACAAGGATAAATATATTATTTCCCGACAGTTTCGGGAAGGGTCCTCCCTTCATCAGGGGACTGTTGTTAAATAAATATATTATCCTTGTTGACAACGCTCCCTTTGTGCAATATCCTATATATATATATATATATATATATATATATATATTATATATATATACATACATATATATATATATATATATATATATATATATATATATATATATATATATATATATATATATATATATATATAATATTTACAAATATTCGGAATATAAACGCATTCCGCGAGAAGACTAGTGAAGTGGCTTACGGAGCGTTTCAAGCTGAAGTAGTTAGGGAAATATCAATATTATATTATCAATTTAGTGTACTGCCAGTCAGGTACGTTAACCAGGGTAAAATTTCCTATGTAACTAAAAAATTTGTCGGGTTGTTCATGTCAAGAATGCGACGTGATGTCGTATGCCATGTATGCCAAGTATACCATTATTGGAGCCCCGGATTAACTTTGAACACATGCTCTTAATTAACAGGCTCTTGAATCTAAGAAGACAGTCATTTTTTCATTACGCCTCACTCATGCCGTATTGTGGCTGACGTGATCAGTAATCGAACCGGCGCCCCAGGTTTAGCACTCACACAACCTACTTCCGAAGCTTTCCCGCCGTGGTGGTCTAGTGGCTAAAGTACTCGGCTGCTGACCCGCAGGTCGCGAGATCGAATCTCGGCTGTGGCGGCTTCATTTTCGATGGAGGCGGAAATGTTGTAGGCCCGTGTGCTCAGATTTAGGTGCATGTTAAATAACCACAGGTGGTAGAAATTTCTGAAGCCCTCCACTACAGCGTCTTTACTAATCATATGGTGGTTTTGAGACGTTCAACCCCACATATCAATCAATCAATCACTTCTGAAGCTACACACAGTGCGTGAGATATGCTGTGTCACATATATTCGCAATTTTCTAAGATCAAGGTGCAGAACGGAACGGGTGAGCAAGAGTTCTTCTATGAAAGAATACACCGCTGTTGTTTTTCGCACTATTCAAAGTGACCACAACAGAAATATTTGTTCTTAACACAAAAACAAAGCGAAAAAGAAGGAAATGACAGCAAACACTCTAGTTTCTAGTTTTCTTACACTGAGATTTTAACCTTGAACTAACTAGTTCATGAAAACAGTGCATTAGGATGCCTCTGAGCTCCACCTCGGTGGTCTAGTGGCTAAGGTACTCGGCTGCTGACCCGCAGGTTGCGGGCTCGAATCCCGGCTGCGGCGGCTGCATTTCCGATGGAGGCGGAAATGTTGTAGGCCCGTGTGCTCAGATTTAGGTGCACGTTAAAGAACCCCAGGTGGTTCAAATTTCTGGAGCTCTCCACTACGGCGTCTCTCGTAATCATTTTGTGTTTTTGGGACGTTAAACCCCACATATCAATCAATCAATTAGGATACTTCTAAAAATCAGCGCTGTGATTTTTTCTATGGGTATTGTTTAGTACTGGTATTGACACCTAATGCCAGGCTTACTGAAAACAAAGAAGGATATATTGGTCAGTCCTATAAAGTAAACACCTCATCGACAAATTTAATGATGTTTTCTTTTTCTCTTCAACTAAAACATTTCAGTAAGTCGTTCTCCAAGATGAAATGAGGTTTTTTTTAACACTTGGCAGCTATTTTGCTTGTATTATAAAATTGTGCCTACATTTAGGGCTTGTATTATCCCACAAGCTACTTGTAATTGTATTTCAAAAACCTTTTTTCTATAGAGCCTGGTTGGATGTCAATTTCAAGGTTATCTCAAACTCATGTGGACGTATAGCTAATAAGTAAAATTTCGAATTATTATTTTACTCCCTGCATGAGCATTTTATGCCTTGATTGTTAGAAACGTGCCACAACATAGATGAGCATATCTAGAAGAAAATAACGCTAAATGCCCACACATAATGGGTTGTGAACTCGTGCAAATCCTATAATTTGATTGTAACCTCATCATTGGCCCTGCACATGCTGAAGGGCCAGCAACGCGGTTACAGGCTGGTATAAGATGTGCACCAGCATAACTAATTTTGTGTGGCACAATTAGTGTTGTTTTTAAAGATTTGCACATTTACGTACTGCACTTTTTTGTTATATAATATGGAAAAGCGCAGTGGTGGAATAAAGAAAAGAACGCCGGGAACTGAGAAGACTACATTATCTCACCTTTGGCATAACAATGGGAACATATTGAGCTGATGCCACAACTTTACTGAATGTAGTAATATAAAGGCTTGGCTGAGAAATAAAATTAAAGGTTACGATTGGCACATTTATATCAAAAATACTCGCAGAGCTGGCATGTTGTTTACAAATAAAATATAGTGTGCTTCATAGATCATTACAATAGAATAACCTGTAATGTATATGCGCGATCCTGTTTAGGTGCGGTGATCCTGAATAAAGGGTTTAGGAGGGCGATGACAGTTTGTTTTAAGAGATAACTAACGCTTTCATCGGAACTTTTTCCTTTCTAGGTGTTGTAGAAATACAGCTGCCCAGCACCTAGTTTAGTCTTTTTTTTAATAAAGGAGACTAATGAGATCTAATTTACACCGAAATTGACTTCTGCTTTCATGAAACAGGTTATCCTGAATTTTCCGGATCGTACTTTGGTGGCGCACACGGAGCTGCCCCGTATGGGGGTTATGCCCATTATGGAGCGCCATATGGTGGTGGATACTATGGCTCACACTCGTATGGTCTTTACGGTCCATACGGTGCGTACAATGCACACGTTGGACACGCTGGACACGGCGGATACGGTGGATATGGTGGATACGGGGCATACAGCCCCTATGGAGGAAGTGGCACCTATGGCTATCACGGAGGAAATGGCGGATACGGCGGATATGGTGGACATGGGGCCTACTACCCGTACGGAGGCAGTGCCCCTTACGGCTATCAAGGAGGAAATGGCGCCTCTAACGAAGGGGGTACCGCCTCGTATGGCAGAAGTTCAGCAGTAGCTACACCAAGTACCCTCAGTGGCCCTGCTTCCGGAGCAGCTGAAACACCTGGGAGCGCACCCAGGTGAGGAATCATCAATTGTTTTAGTTCTGCAGCATGGATTTTCTTCTTAGTTATGTTGTATACTTTGGTAAATATTTGTTAAAGATCGTAGTAGCAAGTCGAAGCTAAATCATTCCCATTTTCCTTCATGGAATCAGGGAAGTGTGCTGAGTAAGTGATTTTTTAGTACTGAACATGAGGCGTTACAGATCGAATAGCGAGCTTACTCCAACTACAGCGCATGTGTATTCCTTATTATAATATGACATAAAAGAAATGTAGAGCATATCCGAAATGCACACCAAGACACAACAGCCAATGAGTTACGCAAACGGTATCAGACAACACGCGACTTTCCGACGAAGCATTTGAAGTACCACTCTGACGTGGAATGAGAATAACTTTTACAGATATTAGGTCTGCCTGTACACGTGCCAATGAATACTAGTTAGCCGAGCTCATTTGTACACTACTTATATTAATATGTTTTACCAAATTCTTCAATTCGAGGCATTTAGTATCGGGAGATTAGGGATTTGTTCTTATCCTGTTTTTTTAGCCCTTTCAAAAATTTCAGATGGTAAGATTGAACAGTTGGAATGAGTGCACTTACATGTAATAGCGAGGTTGCCCTTATCATTATTACTTTTCGTTATTATTTGTAGCGCTGCGCCTGGTGCCTCACCGTGAAGCATGACCAGCATGATGACGGAAAGGTGTCAAACTGCATGTCGCCAACGCTATTTTGGTTTATTGGTGATATGAAACTTTTTCAATGCGGACACGACAATAAATTTCTGTATTATGAAATTTGGATTCATCAAAGTGCTCAGAGTTTATTCAAGATCGAAGGCATTCCTGCAGATCCTACAAATTGTGGAAATTGATTTTTTGCGAAGCCGTCAGCGAGAAGTTGCCTATGGGGCAATTTTCAACATTAAGCAAAGTCTTGCGAGCAGGATTGACACTTATAGAAAACATTGTAGTAGTGTGCTCACCTTGTTGTTAACAGGTGGCTTGGGTAGACTGGTGTCTTACTGGCCGCTCATGATTAACCGTAACGTCCGCAGTACAGCGTCACTTCCTACTTTTATCAAATGCTAATGTTCAGTTGCGCTCTTTGTGGTATCCATGCGGAGAGAAAAAATGCTTAAACAGATACCCGATTCATACCAGTACATATGCGAAATTATTGCATAATCAAGTAAATATGCAACACTGCAATCTTCACAGATATTTGACCAGCCCCACAATCAAGCCTAATGTAGACAGCTGTTGATGTATTGAGCTAATGTACAATCACTACCATGTGCTCTCTGTGTAAGGGTCGTTGAAATTCATTTCGAAGCTTTTCTCTGCTGCATTGCAATCGCAAGGTATAAGAACAGGCATGCCTACAAAGTTCGTAATGTTTATTTTCATTATTCCTAGGTTGATACAGGCTGAAATATTAGCATGTTCAACATATGATATGCAAAGAACATGGTTTGCGTTTTTGTATACCACAAAACTAGGGGAAGCATATTCGTGACGTAAGGGGTAGGCGTGTCATGTTACTCGTGTGATGACTTGTCAGGCCTTGTTCGTTATACACTCATGTTCATATATTTCCATTTGAATATATGAAAAGTTAAGGAGGTGTTCATGACTCATGAGTTCACTAAGACGAAGGAAGCAACACACTAAACGAAAATAACCTGAAATAACCTCAAAAACTGGGTAAACCACTTGTCCTCTAGCGCACTAGCTTTTTTTGGTTTTCCTTACTACCCGCTAGTCGAAGTAAAAACTTACTCTTGTGCTAACTGAGGTTTTGAACGTGAGAAGGTTAGTAATTATTTACCCCACTTAAGTTTTGAGCGAGTGTAGAGATAGTAAATTTTCACTGCCTCCAGAATGTTTTGGAGGCGAGTTCTGGGAGTTAATACAGGTGATAAAAAAAAATAAAAGTTGATGGATGCATTTGTATAGAGTCGAAGAACTATTTAAATGTCACATGATGGTAGAATTGATGATACATATATTAACACAAAGACGAGCACGCACATATTTCAAATGCAAAATAAAACACTTCTTGAACAGACTGCTTGCGTTACTCGACTGCATGTCAACAATCCGGTATATATAAGCATGACTTTTTCACCTGCCATTAGTACCGGTAGGAGAGCTGCTTTTTCGCATCAATTAGCAATAATGGTTGAAAGTGCAAGCATAAACTTAAACAGGGCTTTGGGTCGCTTAAGGTCACGATGATCATTTATTATAAACCTACCCAATATGGTCTGCCCCGCCGTGGTGGTCTAGTGGCTAAGGTACTCGGCTGCTGACCCGCAGGTCGCGGGTTCAAATCCCGGCTGCGGCGGCTGCATTTCCGATGGAGGTGGAAATGTTGTAGGCCCGTGTGCTCATATTTGGATGCACGTTAAAGAACCTCGGGTTGTCTAAGTTTCCGGAGCCCTCCACTACGGCGTCTCTCATAATCATATAGTGGTTTTGGGACGTTAAACCCCACATATCAATCAATCATTCAATCAATCAATCAATGCACAATATGGTCTCTTTGATTATCCAATAATTAGCTGGCACATTGGCCTTTCGGCCTCACCAGTGTTAGCCCTGCTAATGCACAGGTCCACAAAATATACCTATTTACACACAAACTACGGCAGGTCAATGATTTTTATTGAAGAGTGATGCGCAAACACAATAGAAGGCAGCTCAACGATTTTTATTGAGTGGTGATGCACAAACACAATAGCAGCACGCATTCATGACAACGCGAGTAGAAGAGCCGTGCACGCCTCTATACAAGCTTCTTACCGACAGCACACAAGGCCTTTTTGAAGAGCACGGCTATGTTATTAAACAGAGCTGGCGATCACAGAATACATTTCCTGTGCGAATTTCGTCGTCAGTTCAGACACAAATAAAAACGTGTCCCCTACTTGCGGAGTCTTACGGGTACAGGGTGATGTATGTACTTCCAACGAAAGAGATGGACCACCGTTCTGGTTTTCTGCGTGTTCACCGGCAGTCGCTTGTTGGTTCGGTCTGCCTCGTATGGGCTCTCGCCTTCACGCTACATGTTTGAGAACAGTTGGTGCATGAGGCAGATGAATCGGCAGCCCTTTACTCCAGCAGACACCGTCTTCTGTTGAACAAAATGTATGCGACGCTTCTTTCACCCGCCCCGGTGACACACTCCCACTGATCACTCGCGGCCGCGGCTCGGTGCTGACGACATAGTGAAGCGTTTTGCTTATCGGTTCTCCAGGAAGCAGCTACGGATGACGACACCAGCTTGATTTTGTTACCACAGGCAGATCTTCCCTATTCGGCACGGAAGCAAGGTATCCGTGATGTACAGGTTCGGAGGCTCGCGCTGGGAAGCTCATAGTCGCTCGATGATGTGGGGCACACGCCAGATCTATCAGCTCAACCAGACACAAAGATCCGGAGCTTCTTGCACCGTCTGTCTCTAGGACTGCCGCAGAGCAAAATCCAACAATTTGCGAAACTGTGCAGGACAACTTTCCACACCAGGCTTTTTTTAAGACGATACTCTTTCTTGAGGACCTTCGACAAAACACTTTGGTCTGTCTGTCTGTCTGTCTGTCTGTCTGTCTGTTTGTCTGTCTGTCTGTGTGTGTCTGTCTGTACTATTGTCTGTTTGTCCACAGACCCCCATCCACAGCGTCCACCGACACTGCTCCAGATTCAGAGTTCATTGTTGTGCGATTGTCAATTAAAAAAATTGGCAGATACCACGAACAGTGGTAATCGATGATATGCGAAGCACGAAAGAGAAATGTTGATATGCCACTTTAAAATCAGCACAACGTTACGGGGTGGAGGTAAATGATGCAGTACATGACTTCCGTGTCATGATTATTATATTTCGATGTGTTGCTTTCCTTCCTCGCCTATTGACGTCACGTGATAAAAAATAAGGTAAATGTGTAGCCAGCGAAAAAGATGTGAGCACGCTATGAGCGGGGTATGTTGTCATGTTCTTACACGACGCGCGAGTCAGGGTTATCATGTTTGCACCATTCATATATTTCGCCATCCATCGACGTCATGTAACACCACTTTGGTATATGTGGAGCTTGCAAAACGGCCGCGAGCGCATCATGAAGCAATGTAGTGTTGACGCGATCCCACGCTGATCACAGTGACACTACGTTAGCAAAACGCGAGCACTCCATAGTCTGACGCCAGGCGCTGACGACAATAGTCTGACGACACCCGACGGCAACTGGTGCGAAATGCGACATGCTGCATTTCGCACCGATGCGTTACCCAAACAACACTGCGTCTCCCTCCTTTTGTGACTTATAAATGCCGGACGCGCTGAAACGCGCCTTCGTCAAAGCAACGCAGCGCGGTGCGTGCCTGCGAGTATAAGGCAGGACCGGCGCCTGGCGGTGGAACGCCGGCGTGACGTGACGAAATGAACGCCGGCAAGCACGCGCACCGCGTCACCTCGAAAGGTATTGGCACCTTGACTGTGGCATGTAGTCATGTTCTCACATGACACGCATCTCATGATTGTCATGTTTGCACCAGTCACATACTTTCGTCATTCATTGGCGACATGTAATACCAAACTTGGCATATGTGAAGCTAGCGAAACAGCCGCAAGTGCATCATCAGTGTGGCAAGTAGTCATGCTGTTACATGACGCGCATGTTGTGATTATCATGTCTGGATGTGTTATTTACCTATGTCGTCCGTTCGCATCGCGCAATACCGAGTTTAGTACATGTGAAGCTAGCTAAACGGCCGCGAGCGCATCATGAACGTAGCGTGTAGTCATGATGTTACATGGCACCCATCTCAAGTTTATTATGTTTGCACCAGTATCATGCCTTCGTCATCCATTCACGTCCCGTAATATCAAATTTGGTATAAGTGAAGCTAGCGAAACAGCCGCGAGTGCATCACAAGCGTGTCATGTTGTTACATAACATGCAAGTCATGATTTTTATGTTAGGGTCTGTCGTTTGTGTTCGCCAAACAATC